GAGAGAGAGAGAGAGAGAGAGAGAGATGGAGGAAGTTGTGGGTGGCAGAAACAATGTACAGCTAGCTCTGAGTGTGAACAAATCGACACGTTCTTTAACACAGCGGAAGACACTGTAGCCCTGTCGATAACACTGTCACGACACGGGAGAATCAACGTCTCGTCAGTTCCAGCCAAGTTATAGAGAGCATTGGTTGGTGTCGTTTCAGTCTCGTTCATTTGTCTTGTTTGAGATTTAAAGAACCCCCCACCAAAAAAAAAATAAAAACCCACCAAAAAACATCAACTTATCTTGAAGAAAAATCGAGACAGTTTTGAATCAAGAAGGTGGGAGTCGCATGGTGTAGGATGTAACTTAGCTTGAAGATGGCAGCCAAAGTGTGGTGAATTCCATAGCTTAGGTGTGCTTGGAAATGGCAAATTTACATAAAGTTTGTGTCTTTGATGAACGTTTCCCATTAAAGTCCACACAGAAATGTGTTTCTAAATAGACAGGAAAGGCGTACAGCCAAATCAAAAATTTTTATAGTAATTTTTGAACAGGCCTTAAAGTGTCACTTTCTTCAGTTTCGTTGTTTTGACGAGCGCCTGGTTTCTCCGCGACGACTCGCAATTCATTCCTGAATATTCCCCTCTGTGACATTTTGGCCCACGTGCTACCATTGTTGCACAAGACGAGGAAATGTTGTTGTACATCAAAGCGAGGCCCGGCACCTTCCAGGCTTCGACTGTTGCAGGGTTCGGGGGGAATGCTATCTCAGCCTGCTCTGTTTAGTCTGCACACGCCTTCCATCAGACTGCCCGGACACCGGAACTCGCTCAGTAATGCCGCACAATTCGCGGGAAACCCTCGGCCTGGGTGGTTTGTGTGTGCTGCGTCATCAGTTTGTGATGCGGGTGGGCTTTTGTTTAGGTTCACCTTTGACCTAACACCTTGGTTTTCTTTATACAGGGTGCACATTGGCAGGATCGGATCAGATCGGATCAGATCGGATCGGATCGGACCGGATCGGATTGAGTCAGGTCGATTGATAGTGGCCTTAGTGCACAAGTACACACTACACGATATAGATTATAACGAATAGATTCCTTCCTTGTTGTGTCTAAATTATGGAATCAGAAGTTCAAGAATAGAAAACTTTGACCGGCGTGCTATGTTATTGTACATAAAACCTACTGTCCACAACGCAGTAGTTTCTTTCAGTAATGGCTTCCAGCACCGCTAGCCACATAATAATTACTTCAGTTGCTGCGTGGAGAGGCTCTTGAATTCTACGTACAGACAATTGAAATGTCGACATCTTTCTAGATCTTTCAGTATCTCTGTCAGTATCTCTGTCAGTATCTCTGTCAGTATCTCTGTCAGTATCTATCTCTGTCAGTATCTCTGTCAGTATCTATCTCTGTCAGTATCTCTGTCAGTATCTCTGTCAGTATCTCTGTCAGTATCTCTGTCA